AGTAAACTTTCACGTTTTGGCCAGTCAATTGAAGTCCACGTGCACTACCGGGATTATGCTTACTAGACGGATCACCGGCAGACAGTTGCTTAGAAGTTGAAATCAAGATGGATTAGCCTATCTCTTAAAGCTTTATCATTTTCTCAAGTACATGTTCAATATGTTTAATTGAGATACATGTTCAATTGAGCGAGTGAGGTGTGTGAAAAAATGAGTGTAATCTGGTTTGGGAGAGACTGACGATGACGTTTGTTTTGTTTGACATGGACGCAAGGTTTGTTGATGACGGTTTTTTAGCGAATACAGAGAATTAAAAAGTTTTGTGGATGAGCTCCTTATTGGTGGAAGGAGAGGGGGAATTTGTATGTTGAATTGGGGATAAATGAAAATAAATTAGAACTGGAAATGTGGAGATCGTCGATCGTCGGAGCTTGTAACAAAACTGATTTTAAAAATATACATTGTGTATGTGGTTTACAAAACTAATACATTACATATAAGACTAATTCCCGGACAAAGGATGTGATGTTTAATGAAAGTCTAAACATGTACCATGGATATAAACATCGTTATCAGACTAGGTACTTTAGCAATATACCCATTAATGTCATAAGATCGGTTGTTAGATTAACTGCCCACTAAAAACCAAAGATTAAAAGTAGCTTGATTATCAAAGCGACAATCCTTTATTTACCACAGTGTTAGATGAATTGGGCAAATTTAATTTAATGAGTTTAATACGTTGGAAATTTAATTTTAACTTTTGTGTAAATGAATCACTTATTGGTTAAACAAATTAAATAAGACAATATTTATGGTATAAACTTGTGATACACACATACTCTGACTGTTTTAACGTGTTATAAATTTTCGTAGGTTCTCCGACACGGAAGTAGGAAATTAAATGTGGATAAATTATGCCGAGGAATCTTTACGCATTAACGGATGTCGATGTTTTGAATTTTGTGGGTTGCGAACCAAAAATTCTATTCTTTATGAGTATTATAGCGATGACTGCTTGTTGATAATATTACCATCATCAAAGAGTCTTTTTTCTTAATCATTCCAAATGGAGCCTAAATGCTGGCTCCAATCTTACTGTGATTTGCTACCATAATGATTAAATAGAAATATTCATTATTTCACAAAGAGCTCAGAGTTCGAAAAAATATTTCAATTCCATAATTTTTATGCAAATTTTCGTTCATTTATAAAGATCATTTCATGAATTTACTTCATTTCAATCATTATCTCTCTGCACCAAGTTACTACTGTTCGTGCTGTAGGCCTTATTTGTATTTTTGTTTGAGGTACTTCTAGGTTCATTTAAAATAACCGAATCTTACCTAATTTTTGAAATTTTATAGAATATTATGAGAAATGTTGGTTTGGGTATTGCACATGTCATTAGAAGTGTACTTTTTCACGCGTTCTGCATACATGCATACCGTTCTGCATACATTTCTAAATTATAGAGAATCAAATGAACAGTAAAAAGATTCAAAACTTTTTTAGGTTTTTAACAACTAGAAAATTAAATGATCTCTCGATTTTTGCCACCAGTAATAAGAAGCCATTCATGTTGTATTGATAGCCATGACTTGCGCCTCAGCACTGAACCGGACGGAAGGTAAAAAACATCAACCTTCTATCTTGGATCATCGATATTTGAAGGGTTTTGAAGTTGATCATTCAATATTCTTGTCGATTCAGTACTGATAACATTGAACCTAAGGCAACTGTATACATACACAATAACATGGCATGATTTGCGACAATTCGAACAGTCAAATTCAATGGGTGATGTGGAGCTGGCAGCTGCATCTCCTCAGTTCTCATTTATGAATGGTATAAATTTCCACTCCGTTGCTTCCAACCTAATCTGATTTCTTGCCAACTTCTGTCCTTGAGCAGGACAGAAATGAAATTGGAAAGACAGAATAACACAGGATCCGGAAGTATCCCAAAAAGGACGGTTATCAAGAGTGGCGTTCTGTTGAAGGAGCACAGTAAACAATTCCTCTAAAAGATTGTTTTGATGCAAACCTGTTTTATTTATTAAGTAATTAACTTGGTCGGTTTCCATTACATCGTACCAGCCTGGTGTTGAATTTCCCGGTATTAATAATTTGGATATAGTTAAGGTGAAATGCTGTTGTAAGCCGTTTCACCTGATAGGTTCATCAGTGATAGGTCTTTAATTGCTTTATCTTCTAAAGTTATGAGCCATTTTCGCGAGCAAGTGGTGTTAAATATTTTAGTGTCCTCAAAGCAAGACATGTCTCCAACAGACATGCAAATTTGTAAGCGCGTTGCGCCAAGTAATATTCCTAGTTCGCGAATTCGAGAATGCCATTGTGATGGACCATGCGGAAAAATTAAGGTTAACTTTGACATCTCTCTGCATTTCGAACTTTTTTAAACATTTCTGCAAATAGATAATATGGCAAGCTTATTGAAATATTCATTTAATCATCGTTAAATGGGAGGGAAAAGTCCTACTTTTGATATCAAATACCTCTTCTTTGATAGTTTACTAACACATGCAAAACAATAATTTACAGCTAATGTGAATGCATTTAATGTCAAACATAAATGAGGAAGGCCTACATGAGTAGACCTTTAATCTTTGAATTAAACAATAATTTTCGGAATTTTATATATTTTTTTTTGCAGCCTGTAAGCGAAATGCACATAATGGGCCTTTGTGATCATTATATTTGTCAAGATTGTTTCGAAAAAGCACCAGCCGTTGAAACTGGTTCGTTTATTTCAGCAGTTTTGCTACGTACATTGTAATTTGCATGTTATATATATATATATATATATATATATATATATATATATATATATATATAGTAATAA